TTCTTCAAATATTTCTGTTAGTAGCCATACTCAAGTTATCTCAAAATCAGTACTATACACTATCAACTATCTCTATGCATATAGATTAAGATAACAGTACTAAATGGCTATATTTTTTTATAACTAGTTTAGCTGAAATATGATTGTAAATATGCTTAATATAAGATATTCAATATACCTATTGCTAGCACCTACTGAAGTAGTAGCCCAAAACATAGGAGGAGCAACTATTCATTCAAACTAAGAATAATTTCAACTAAAGGAAGTTTCCAAATACATGTTTTAACCAACAAAAAACTAAAAACTCATTTATAGAAAGTCAATATTATTATTATTAATGAAATTTTCATAGTTTCAGCTAAATTATTGAATTTTATTTCTAATCTATTTGCAAATTTTCACGAAAATGCTATTGCTTTTGGCAGTATAAATATCATAGTTGTCAGCAATTTCACACAACTTCTCTTTGTTACTAGTCAACTTGTCTTTTGTATAACTGTTTGGCTATTATTCTATTCATTGTTTCTGAAAACTTCACAATGTCAAAGTAGTAACTTTTAATTTTTTTCTTTACTAGAAGAAGTATGAACTAGTAATCTCTCTAAAAGCACCTGGCAAATATTACAACAATGCCATTTACAATTTTTAATAAGACCTGTAATTAATATAATTCTTAATACTACTTATATTGTTAGATTCAGAGAAAATATACAACAAATCAATAAAATGGTCTGTGACCTATTATCTAGACGATAAATTTCTAATATCATAAGTTATTGATTTTATAAACTTTTCAGAATGGGATCTTTTGACTTCTAACCAAATATTCAAATTAAAAATAAACCTACCATTATATACTTGCTTACAACCAGGTACACATGTTATATATCTTAATAACTCTCTAATTGCGCAAGAAATATGTAATAGTACTATAGGTATAATTACTAATATAAACCCTGCAAACCAATTTGTACAAATAGTATTTTTAGTTAGAGATTCTATAGTCGATATAGATATTTATAAGGATACTCATTATTTCGAAATCAACAGAAATAATTATCACCTACCCAATTCTCTTTATAAAATTGGTTTGCTCTTACTATTCACAAAACTCAGAGTCTAATACTGTCAAGAGTATCTCTTGTATTAAATGAAAATATTATTTCTTCTGGTCAAGCTTATATAGCCTTTAGCAGATGTCCTAACTAAAACTATATTGAAATATCCTATCTTGACAAATTAGCATTTATAGCAGACCAAAATATTATTCTAGAATATCAAAGGCTAGAAGAAGTCTCTAGATCAAATCCTTATATTTTCTTCTAAATTTTTACTAACTAAACAAAAGATCTATTTCCAAACCTGTAATATGTTATATTAGATATTTATATCATATACATACTATATGTTATAAAGACCCAGGACACTTGACCCTCCAAGAATTTTCTGTTTTCTATTATTATTTTTTTTTTTTAAATTTGGCAATTCTGCCTTTATTATATTAGAAGTGTATTATCAAAATATATAGTTTTTAAACAAAAAGCCTGCAATAAACTCAATGTTATCCACCCTTCTACTCTTCAATAAAGACTCACTCAGCTGTTCGTAATAGTGTCCAAGTGCAATCTGCCGCAGCAATAATTCACTCCTCTTCAGCATCTAACTTACTAAATGACTCCCCGAAAAAATTACAGAAAGCTTATTGCTAGCTTTGTCAAGATTGCCTTTTTCTTAACATTTTTTCTTCTTCAAAGGGGTATACAACAAATAGGAGTGAGAAAATAAAAAAAAAATATATAAAACGAAAATGACAAAAATAAAGGGGAAAAGAAAAAACAAAGAATATATAAAAAGAAAACAAATACAAAAAGAAATTTAAAAGAAAAAATTACAAAGAAAAGAAAACAAAAAGGACAGCAGAAAATTCCGTCTTTTTAGCACTACTATTACCCATGCTAGGCTAAAAAAATTATATAACAAATATAAAATTTGTATATCTCTAGTGTAAAGCTTCACTTTATTAAATAAAATTTTTTGACTAGGTTATCTGGACTTCTAAACAACATAAGCGGCCAATCTCGGTATTATGTGAAGCAGCACAGTCTATAAACAAAACAAACCAGACATGTGATCGTAGTTTGCCAAAACCATTCAGATTTGGGAGGTGTAAACAATGCCAATCTTTTGAAGAGAGTAAGCTGTTTTGCTTACTTTTGTGAAAAATTTTAAAAAAGTAGCAAGAAGGCAGAAAAAAGAGACGAAACCACTTTGTTTTATTTAATAAAGGAGTATGTATTTTCTTTACTTAACACACTGAATCTATAGAAAGATACCAGTACTCTTCTTATTTTTTCAGGTAAGTGATAAACTCTGAGCTTGTTAGCAAATAGCATATGAGAACTATTTTTAAACGACAAGTGCCTAGCCTCTGTGGTAAGTGATAAACTCTAAAAAAGTTACTATATTACTATGTAATAACGTGCAGTGTGAAATTATGAATTTCAGCCTAAATTAAGTTTAATTCAGGCCGAATCTCGAAATAACACTCATAGGCATTATTACATGAAAATATAGTAGCAAGTAGCATATGAGAACTATTTTTAAATAACAACTGCTGAGTTATGAAGCTTAAGGATTACTTCTTAGACTGTTTTAACTTTTACAAACACTTGTATTTTTTAAGAATTTTTAATTTTTTTTTTGTGGTAAAAAGGATCGTTGGGAAGAGTGTATACTAAAAATGTCTGTTCTTTATTATTATTTTTTTGAGATATTATTATTACTATTATTATTTTTTTTTTTATCTTGTAAAATTCAATATAATTAAAATAATTACTATAATTTCTTACAAATACTCTAATAAATTTATTTAACTTATTTAACTTATCTGATTTTTCAAACCTAAGAAACTTATCAAAACAAATAAATATATTAAAATTAACAAACAATTTATTAAGAAATACAGTAATGTAAAAACTATAAATATGACCTTTTATATCTTAATAAAATATAACTTAGTTAAATTTTAACCTTTGAAATTCAATTAAAAATTCGATTAAAAATATTAACTCTAACAGTTTTTCTCTTTAATGACAATAAATTGTTAATAAATCATTATAAAATAAATCAACACAAAAACTTTCTTGTCTCTGTAATTTCATTTTATCTATATTTCAATTTTTAGTAAGAGAAAAAGAAAGAGAATATCTATTAATAATTAGACCCTTTTTATATTAAATGTAACAATTAAATAAACTATTAATTTTATTATTATTAACCTAATTTCCTTTTTGCTATTGTTCTGTCATAACCACGTAACTATGTAACAATTATTAGTAAATATTATAACTCTGCTATTACACTTAATTGATAATCCTCAACCCAACTGAAGCATGATCTTAGTAAAATGTAACTTAGATTACTATATAAATTTACTATAGTGTAAATATAGTAATCACCCAAGGTAAACTTTTTTATACTAAGGTAATCAATCTTGTCAATTAATTAAAAGTTGTAAAGCTTATCTTTGTGGTTCTAATGGTAGTTAAAGCATCAAAATCGGCCTGGTAGATGCCGAGATATCATTAAAAAACAGTCCTTTTACTATATAAACTTCTAGTAGTATTGTTTGCAAAGAAGTTTACATAGTAAAAGAATTGCTTTTTAAAGATATCTCGGCACTCATCATGCCAATTTTGACACTTTAACTACTATTAGAACCGTAAAGATGAGCTTTACAACTTTCAATTAATTGACAAGATTGATTACCTTAGTATAAAAAAAAGTTTACCTTGGGTGATCGCCACATTTACACTATAGTAAATTTATATAGTAATCTAAGTTATATTTTACTAAGATCATGCTTCAGTTGAGTGGAGAATCATCAATTAAAGATAATTAAAAAAAAGCCTTAAATAAAAAGGACATTAAGTAAAATAAGTAAAAGTACTCATCCAAGTTACTAGTTGCACTGCAATAAGACGCAAGAACTAAACACCTCTTTTCTACCTGCCTCAAAATCTTAAAAGACTTAGGATGATTAATTCTATTATTTGGTTTGTCTTAAACTTTTTAATCACCACTTTCTCAATATATATACATAATTTACTAATAAGAGTTAAATTTCACAAAAAAAATGAATAATAACTAGAAAAAACAACAATTAAAAATAACAAGTATAAATAGGTTAGAACTATGAAAAATTATGCTAGTGATTAATTGCATCATTTAACTTAACAATAAAAAACACATTTATTTAATAATTTAATTATTTAAATATAATTGTTAAGAACCAGAAATTGTCATAAATCTAAAGTACAAAATTTTTATAACATTTAACAATACAATAATATATAACTATACTGCCTAACAAATATAAATAAATTAATAAGGTTTAACACTATGTAATAGTAATAATTAAAATAAAGAAAGCCCAACAATTTAAATATAAACTATATTTAAATTGTTGGGTTTTCTTTTAGCGATACTCATATACAAAAATATAAAAATTTTTTTTAAAATAAAAGTACATAAACTTGCATATAAAATTTATTAAATATATTCAGTATTATATACAAACAGACAATACCAATCTATATTTTAATATACTGTATATGCTGTATCTATTAAAATTTAACAGAGATATAATTTTTTATTAATAAATTTACAATTTAATTATTTACAAAACTTAACTACTGTATATACAGTATATAAAATATCCATATAATAGAGTATAAAGTTTATTATATCAAATTTTATAGCACGTGGGTACTAGAAGAAGATCTATTAGCTAGTTAAAGTTATAAACTTTAATCGAATATACAAAAAAAAAAAGCAACCCCCAATTAAATTCACAGTATATTCCTAGCATATATACATCGAGTGCATTTGGTACTACAAATATTGTTTAATGTTAAATATGGATGCTCCCTTAGTTACATAATGTTACATAATGGCTACCTATAGTTTAATTTGATTAGTTTGATGATCACCCTAGTGCATCATTGATAATTCTGCAAATCCGCCTATGCACATTGGACGTCCAATCCAACGTCTAATCGTGATTTTTGGACTTTGGACGTCCAATGTCCAATGGTCCAATGGTTTTGATTGGACATTGGACGTCAAAGATTCAATAATTTGGATTGGACATGACAACACTACCTATATGCAATATTCCGAATTTACAGCTCTTTTTAATAATAGGGGGAAAAGAGAAGCCCATTCCCCAACACAATTGTATGTACAATATTTTATCAATCGAAAAAAAGTTTCACAAATTACCTTTTATAGGGTTGTTACGGTCCGTCCCGGTCCGGTCTTGGTCCCAAAGACCGGTCCTACCAGAGGACCGCAGACTAGACCATGGTCCAGGACCGGTCCATAAACCGGTCCATAAATTGGTCTATTGGCTGGTTTTCAAAAATAAGCTGTGGTATATAAAAAGACCTTACAGTTATTATCATAAATCCTGGGACAATTGAAAAAATTGCCAATGACTAGTAATGCAGTAGATGATTTGTCGTAACTAGTTGCGATATAGGTTTTAGTTAGTTACGGCTTGAGCCGTAACGTAATTGGAACGATTCTACTGCATCACTACAATGGCTGAATCGACAAGTTACCGATCAAAAATCTATAAATTACTGAATTAGGCTGACATTGGAAACTTATATAGATATGGTCATCGATATATATATATTTTTTTAGCCAATAAGGTCATTCCATAGGCTTTGGACTGGTCCAGACCGGTCCTCAATTTAGAACCAAAAACTGGTTGGACTAGTCCGGACCATAGTCCTTGTAGGACCGTAACATCCCTAGTAATCATATGGTATATAGGTCATTTTATAATAGTAAATCATATCGATATATATATATATATATATATATATATTATATATATTGTACAACCCAGAAATTTCCTAGTAAAAAATAAAATTTATTGCAATTTTTAATCAGTTTTATAGTAATACAAGTTTTATTTACAATATAAAGGATATCTCATCTCATTTAATGGTAAAGATATCTTTAATTTTGGGATTATTTTTAATAAAATGTAGATTTGAGTGCTTTTTTTTGCCATTTTGTTTTTTTTAATGTATTTATTTAGTAGTCTTTAAAAAGTCACAAAAATCAAACGTACTTTAACGCATATAAAAAGCAAATTTTTTTTATTCAATTGTCCAAATTTGAACACTTAAAAATATATATACTATATAAGCATAATAAAAACTTTTAATAAATATCACTTTAACTTAGATAACTCAGAGATTTTTAACACCTGTCGGACTGTCACTTTCTTAGAACGAATTACTTGTTTGTTGATCTCCTCTAATAGTATTTCTTGCCTTACTATTTCATCCTATGAAAAAAATTAACATCATACAACTTTCGTGCGAAAAATAAAAGCATGATCATAAAGAACCTGAACTAAACTCACGTGAAATATACACATCAATCTGAGGACCGATTTATATTAACCTCGCCCATTTAAGCTGAAAGGCAAGACGGCAGAAGCAAGTTCACATGATAGAAAGCGACCATTTGGAAGCAGGTTTAATGAATGTAATGTCAGCCGAGTATCTGAAAAAATAAAACCAGGTTATGTTGCAATAGCTAACAAAAACATAAATCATGCATAAATTACTTACTGATTGATTGTGTGCTAAACACCTTGATCTTTGTTGCAAGCTCAATTTCGCAGTCAAGATGTTCCCGTAGTATCGAAATTAGATTTAAAATATCAGTTTGAAAAGTTTTTTTCGAGTTGCCCAAAATGTGTTTGTCAGTAGCGTTACAGGGAGAACCTGCAACTTCTAGGTGCCAAATGTCCTGCCCATCAAAGTGCCTAGTCGCTTTTGCATCTACCAAAACGATGCCTGAGTTTGACTCCGACTTTAATATTTTTGCTAAACGTGAGTGGAATTCGATCCAATCGATATCCAATGTTAGAAACGTCCTTTTGTAAAATTTAAATAACACCGACACTTGATAAATTATATGCTTTCGCTCTCCTATTTTTCTACTCATAGTAGGGCCAACGTCTACGAAGTTGTAACTAAAGGAAAAACAATTATTAGCTTCTTTGATAAGCAAATAAATATTGTCGCGGCTAATGCTGAAATTTAGGGTCCCTATTTAAATTTATAATACCTACTAAAATTCACATATACTTTTTTTACTAACAACACTAACCCTAAACCCTAACCCTATAAAAAATCTCCTAACGAAAAGACCCAAAAATTTTTTTAAATTTCATAATAAAATAGGTCAAAATTTCATCAGCCGCGACAGATGTCAATGTCTATCTACAAATCGGAGAGAATTTTCTCACAATATAAGCAAAAAGGCTCATTTATATCTATAAAATCCTTATTTCGAACCAAGTCTTTAAATTTGTTCCCAGATTCATTAAGGGTGGTATCTAAATACTCCTCTAAAGCAGAATTCCATATAACAGGATTCCTTTCACGCATGAAGGACAACTCTTCTGAAAGTTTTGTTCCAATTTCCACATTTAATTCTTCTTTTGTTAACGTGAATGCATATATAACGAAATTTGTTTGGGTGTAACTGTCACATAGAGGATCAAAATACTATCAGAATAATCTCTATTTTCCAAGTAATACAACAAGCAAAAACTTACTGCCAGAGTTCTTCCTTCTCTATTGGCCGCTTGTTAGGTGTATTTAATAAATGGGCTAATTCCCGAGGAGTTTGTGGCGGAGTTTTAGGTAAAGAATTTGAAGAATCTGAAATATTTGAAAGTGGTAACGGAATATTATTCGTTGGCAAGAGAGGAAACAAGATCGATTCCGTTTCTGATGGAAGAACCGATGGTGGCAATTCTGCTTCTGGAAAAAAACCTGATGGTGATAGTGATGATACTGATGGAAGAACCGATGGTGACAATTCCGCTTCTGGTGATGATGCCGTTTCTGACGGAAAACTCGATGATGATAGTTCCGTTTCTGACTGACCAGGTCGCAAAAAAGTTTTTAAACCTTTTGTTTGAGCGGTGATATGGACAGATTTCTGCAAAGATATATAAGCATATTAGCATCTTATAATTTCATTAGTTACGATAGTATATTAACGTATCTTAATTACAGAATTCAATTTAGCATTTTTTATAAGTTCTATCTTAGCATTAAAGACTTCTCTGCATGCATTTACAAGAGTTTTACCTGGTGATGACTATGATAATAGATGTTATGAGGCAATTTTGAAGTTCGATCTAGCATCGATAAGGAAAAGGAAAGCGACAGGTACCTGGAGCCAATTGATGTAGATATTACAATTCGACCGTAGAGATACAGGAATGGCATGTAGCTGGTTTATTTGATCTAAGCTATCCACAAAAGTTTTAAGCAGCTGGTCAAAGCTAATGTCAAGATTGGGATTCACAAGAAAATTATTAATGTAAAGCTCAAAAGACCACTTTAAAGCCTGCTGGGTCTTAAAGTAGTCATCAACGTCACGCATTCTCTGTTCACACACATATTTAAAATGCTTTCCTGTCATTTGTGGTTCGGAATTAGACATAATTAAAAGTTGAAATAAATCTATCGAAAATTTTTTTTTTTCTAACAATTACGGGGCTATATATTTAAAAAAATATAAAGTAAACAATAAAAAATGTAAATAAAACTGTAAACAAGTAAACAATAAAAATGTAAACAAACAAACATTGTAGATTACATAGTACACGTCACTTTCGATATAACGTAGTACCTCGAGGAATTTTTTAAAATCCGCTTTATCATAAGTTTATTAGTAAATCCATTATTATTATATCAAGTTTGTAAGTTATTTTTAAAATGTAAGTTACATTTTAAGTTATGTAAATTACCATGTAAGGTAAGTTATGTATAATACGTAATAATAAAAATTTCTTTAATAACCTTAATGCTGGCTAAATTTATTCTGGTCGGTATTAATACAAAGCCGACCTGCTTTACTATGATAGGTCATATAACTTACGTGAATCTTATTAAAAAATGCATATGATCTTCGTAAATCACGTTCTCGTGTTATTTTTACTTAGAGTTGTTGCCACCCGTGGTTGTAAATAATTTATTGCCACGCAGTCTAAATTGACTATCTGACCTACCCCTAACATTCTCCTAACCCTATGTATTATTGTTTAATTTAGACGGGTGGCAATAAATTATTTACCACCCCGGGTGGCACCATTTATTGATCATAATACAGTAATATACTTTTTTTTTTTTTATAAACATATCAAAAGCGTGAAATATTTTAGTTTCCTAATAAGTATCTTTTAAATTAATCCACAAAATTATGTATCTTTAGCATTTATTTTTATGTATATTCACCTATATATTACCTATATTGCTTATTAGATATGGATTAAATAAATAGCATTATAATATAATTTAGTGTGGATCGCTCAAATCAAACTATATTATACAAATGGAAGGCAGATTGATGTTTTAAAAAAAAATCTATACCTTAACTTTCACAGCTCATATCTTGATGAACTTTGACGTTATCTGATGAGTTAATATTCAAGCTTAGATCGTAAGCTTTCTTTTGACTATTAAATAATTAAGAAAGCTTCAAAATCCATCGATATATGAGGAAAGTTAAGGCATTAATTTTTTTTGGAATGTCAATCCGCATATTTTTTATTGTAAAATCTTCACAATAATAATTCATAAATAAATAAAAATAATTTTACATAATATACTGTTAAATCGGACTTATGCTAAAAGGAAGTTGATCACATTCAATATCTTACAATTTAATTTTATTATTCTCTTTATTTTAACGCTAATACTTTTGCAAACCTCAAAAAATTATATAAATAAAAAAATGTTAGGCGTATTGTCGCTAAGCCACATATAATGATACTAAAATAGGATTAATTGTGAATTATTAAACAAAAATGAAAAACTCAATAATTAACCACTGATAAAAAATAAAATCTTGTTCGTTGGTTATATAAAAAGGAGAAATGCAATCAATATTATCAAGTTTTACTGATTGTGCTGCAATACAAGCCATATCGAACTATTTAAAATAGGATTAGTTGAGAAAAGATTAGAACAAAATAAGAGATAGTATATGGCAGTGTTTAGAAGTATCATTTGTTATAGATCGAGAAAAATTAAGTTTTTTATTATTACTAAGCCTTTGTTTACTTTATTCTTTTCTCACTAATCGTATTTTAGTAATGATGAGGGACGAAGTATCATTTGTAATTGTGAAAGAATAAGTTCAATGAAATATACTAAAAAGAGATTAGTCAGTAATGTATTAAAATAAAGAGTGATAAAGTATTGTTAGTATAGAAAAATAGAATGAATTCATTACCGTATGGCACTGACCAGTGTTGTCCACTGGAACGTTCCAGTGAAAATTACTGGAACTGGATGATCACTGGAACTAACTGGAATAAATAATCAAAATATTTGCTTCCAGTGGAGATTTTTAGCATTAGAGGAAGGTTCTAGTGACCTCCAGTGACTTCCAGTGGCTTTCAACTTTCCGTCACTCATATTTAATATCATTAATTAATATTTGTTTAAATTCAAAACCTTTAGTTTTTTTAAATAAAATAACAGAATTTTTTATTTTCTTAAAGTAAACTACAAGCTACAAAAATTTTGTCACTATTTTTGCATCGTTTGTTAAATTATGACCAGAATATTGTCACGCAGATACAGAAATTAAAAAAATCCTCATGCTCTCTTTGATGCCCAAATTTACACACAATAACACATTAAAGTACTTGCCTTTAGGGATGTTAAAAGTCCAGTCCGGTCCAATTCGACTTTAAAGAGTCAAGTTTTTGTTAAAGTCTGGTTTCAAGTCAAACTTGGGACTCGATTCGCATTGCACATGCATCTTGTATATTAATATAGTACTGAAAGAACTAAGTACGCAAGTAAAATATGCATGAATACACTTTCTTTCTTTTTTTGCTATATTTAAATGTTCAAGAGAAACTCGCATAATCTCGCATAATTTAGCTATTCTCATGTATAAAAAAAATTCTATTGGCCAATTGCTGTTACACAGATTAAGTTACATATCAAGGCCTATATATACTCTAACGCTGGCTAAGATCATATGAATAATGCTGGCTAAACTATCATAGTAGAATGTAGTAACAATTATTGATTATACCGGAACTTTTATAGCATTGGTATAACTATTATATGCCAACACTAGGGTTCGAGGCACAGAGGCATGGGCATGCCTTTTGGGCATGCCTCGGGGGCATGCCTACGGGCATGCCACTTAACCATTAGACATGCCCTAGTCATGTGATATATGCGTCATATCTGATTGGCCAGCATGTCAGAAGTTGAGATCATCAGAGTTGTAAATTTAACATTTTAATTACCATAAACCTCATATAATTTATGCAAGTCTAATTCTGTAATTTATGTGTTGCTAGAAAAATTTTTACAATAATTCACAATAAATTACTATAATTCTGGCAACAGAATTTTTTTACATTAAACTATAGTAAAAATTACAATAACTCTTATATTTCAATTAAACCAATAACAGAATTTTTATAGTAAACTACAGTATAATAGAAGTTATGATAATTCAAATGCAAACCAAAAAAAAAAATACTAAATACTGTAAAATAAGTATATAATATGAAGCACTAATTTTCTATATAAAAAAGGCATACTTGTGAGCACAAGAGGCATGCCATGACTTAGGGCATGCCCTCAAAGGCATGCCTAATTTTTTACCTGTGCCTTGAACCCTAGCCAACACATTACGTATTGGTTATTCAATGTAAGCTACGCATATACTTGTAATTTTTGACATGAGCAAAATTAAAAAAACAAAAAATTTAAAATAAAAATTTTGTGCTTTTAGATTAGGGAAGAAGCTTGCAATTAGGTTAGAGTTTGAAAATATTATTTATATAATAAATTTTATAACACTTAAATCAGTTTCATAAACTAAATTTTTGGTTATAAGATGAGACCAATTTGATTCTGTGTTTTATATTATCTCCTCACTTTCTAATAAAATTCCGAAAAATAAAGTTTTTATATATGATATAGTCAATCTCCCTCTCCAGAGAGAGGAGGTAATTTAAAACACAGAATCAAGTTGGTCTTATCTAAACATTTGTCTTGCATTACAGCTGGTCTTAAAATTTGGTTGGTCAACAAAACTTTTTAACTCTAATCCTGGGGTCTGCATAATTCGCATAATTTACAATTTGCCACACGTATAATTTTGCAATTACCGGCACATAATCTTGGACACTTTATGCTGGGCAAATCACACCCCTTATTTACTCATGTGCAGCGATCTGTGCATATAAATAGTTTGTGTAACAATTATTTCGGTAGTGCATCTGCGATGATCTTCCAGACAACAATGCGTAAAATATATATAAATATATATATTCGTACTTTTATTAAATCTTTTATCTTTATTTTTTTATTGGCCAGAGTGTAGTGACGGACATTTAGTGTTTATGCATGGTGATATAAAAGTTATATTTTTGATGCGATTTGATCTTCAAAAATTACTTTTTTGATAGTTTTTAATAAAATTAGATCAGAACCACAATTTGAAAATTTTTTGTCTGTCCGCACGCATATTACATAATTGAAAATTTTATTTCAAAAAAAATTAATTTTCAAAACAAACCCTCTAAGTGTATGGCCTTGTGACCATAGTAAAAAAAGGCAAAATGTAAGTGTGTTTAAATTTATAATCATTATATTATTATTTTTAACGAAATTATAGATTTTTTTCACACTAATGTAAGAACGATAGAAGTACAGTAATCTCAATGCAGGCTAAACCTTTAACCACATATTTGTTTTTAATAGAATAGGAGTAAGTTATTAACAAAATGGTTTATAGTAACTCATGTTAATTTCAATACAACTAACTCAATCTCAATTATATATACTGCATATCGCTAAGATAAAGAAATAGGTGGCACTGGTAATAAATTGGATGCGAAGATAACCAATATTTAGAATTAAGTTATATTTTTAAAACAAATAGACAGAAATTTAATAATTATAAAATATTTTTCGGAATTGTGTAGATTGCTGGAAAACGAGCCAGATCATACAATAGTTATAGAAGTGAAATTAATTATATGGTAAAAAGATATAATGAATCAATCGCTAACTTGAGGAAATTATTATTTTAAATTATATATTAAATAGTTACCAAGTACTAATTTGCTGTAGGAAAATACAATAACACATTTGAAGATTTAACTAGATTGCTAGAAATCGAACCAGATAATACTGTATAATAATAGCTTTAATTGGGAGTCCACGAGTAAGCTAGAGAGTAATATAACTCAGATTACTATATAAATTTACTATAGTGCGAATGTGGCCTGCGCAAATCTAAAACTTTTTTTTATACTAAGTTAATTATCCTTCTAACTTAAGAGACTTTTGTAAAGCTTGTCAAAACGCATCTTTTGGTAGTTAGAATGTCAAAATCGGCCTGGTAGGTGTTGAAATATCTTTAAAAAACCTTTCTTTTACTATGTAAATTTCTTTGCAAAA